ATATGTTGTAAAAATGAGTATCAAATTATATTTAAAAATATATATATTGCCAAGCCCGCATTTCTACAATATGCGGGCTGGCCGCATAGAAATCGTGTCCAATTATTTTCATTAGATTTTTCCAATATGTAAAATTTTCAAATTTAAAATTTATTCTTAAAATTTTTTTTGGACCAATTGCCAGAGAATTCTAACTAATGTCATTAAATTCGCTTCGCTTTGGCCGAAGCCTATGGATTTTAAGCATAAACCGAAGCTAAGAGAAGCATGGTGCTGCCGCTTCGGTCAGATTTGGGCTGCTTCGGCCGAAATTTCGAGCTCCTTCGATCATAATATAAATACCTATATAAAAGTATTTTTAAAATTTATTTGGGAAAAAGTTTATACATAGCAAAGGCTCTAAACAATCAAATTAGAACTCACCTCAAAAAGTTTATTAGAATAGGTTGTTTTGTTGCCCAAATATCTTTAAATTGATCATCTCGACATCGAGATGCATAGACATGAGAAAAAAAATAGATTCAAATGTTGGAAATAGTGCATATTGTAATGCATTTTTGGACGGTCAATTTTCAAAATTTTATAGATTTGTTCGATGTGGAATATTTTTGAAGCTTTAAATTTGATAGTTAAAGATGAAAATATATTTTAAGGCCATCAAAATCTCATTTCTCGCAAAAAAAATTTAAAAAAACCCGAAGTCTTCCCCGGAATAAGCAGAAATTTCTCAGAGACTCGGAAGCCAATCTGACGACATTGACTCTAACAATTTGCTTCCATCCAGCTTTTATTGAGAGAGAAACAGAGAGGTTTCTCTATGAACTCTCCTTCTTTCCCAAAACCCTACCAATCAGTTTCCATTTTCAGTGAAGTGCGATTGCATGTGAGAGAAAGATATAAGCCTGCACCATTTGTATCATGTCTTGCGGGAGAATGAGATGTATGGATTCTTTCTCCAAACTTGCATCTGGTTTTTATGCAAAGTCTCAGAGATGGTTATCTTGCCAGATGCTGTGATGATCCAGATCCTTGCAGCATTACCTGTAAAGTCCGCAGATTCAAGGCGTTGTCGAAATCATGGGAAGGCTTGTTATCCTAACGCTACTTTACCATTATGCAATACTCTCTCACTTCCAGTCTTTTGCTCTCTTTCTCCGAGGCCCTTCCGGTGGCCGGGAAATGTTCTAATGCAAGTGCCGAGAACATTCACAATCCTGATTCCTATACGAGAACAGTGTTTGAGCATCAAGGTCTGATATTAGGGGATATCTCCTGCCATAGTGGCATACTGTGCTTTCTGATCGGTTGTGAGGGCTCTCTATTCAGCCCTGTGATGTGAGATCACAGACAGATATGGGTTTTATGCTAAGAGAAGAAATGGGTGCAACTGATGAAAGCCTTATCCCATTAAAACAAGAAACAAATAAGATAATATACAAGAAATAATAAGAGAATAAAAAGCCCATTGGCATAAGAGAAAAATAAAAATTGGGAGTTCTCACAATGATTATCAAGGTTCATCATATTCATATCCAAAAGTTAAAAAATAAAAAGCATAAATCATGTGTATTATATACAATTATAGTTGGGAAATCTGCCATCCATCTTAGAGATGGACGGTAGAGAACCAAAAAAGCCATGAATAACGACTGAAACAATGCTTTGATCTCGTTAAACATGAACAAGAAGGAACTCAATGCTTGAAGCTGGAAACATCAAACAACTTCATAAACTGGATATCTGAGGCCCTTGCTTTGGCAGCAGCAAAGCGCAGGTATTCATCCAACACCGAATCCAAAGACCACCTCTGCAACTTCCTCAAACACCCGACCACGCAACCTGTTCTATGCTTTCCACGTTTGCAGTGAATCAAGAGTGGCCGGTTCGAAACATCGACCACAACTTTCAGTGCTTTGCGAACTGTTTCCTCAGGAATGGTCTCAAAGGGCTCTTTGTGGCCTTCTATTCCAAACTGGAAAAGCTTGATCCCATGGGACTCAAGAAAAGCTTGGTTAGCTTCGGGATAGGGCTCTGGGCAAAGGTATCTGCAGAAACCCAAGAGAGAGAAAATAAATAATCAGAGGGACAAAAAGAATAAAAAAGAAAGCGCAATTAAATGTATTTCCTTGAAAGAGGGGGAAAGATGAGAATTAAAGAAGGGAAGAAGAATTTCAGTCATGTAAAAGAAAGGAGAATTCTGCTGAAAGAATCAAAAGAAATTTGAAAAAAAAAAAAATTCATATATTGAAAAACAAAAGAAGGAAAAAAGGAAGAGTGTGTTTACAGGATGGAACGAAGGCCAAGAATTTGGAGGAAAGAGAAATTGGTAATGTCTGGGAAACTAGAGCGAAAGACACCATGATCGACCATGGAGAAGTTTACAGGGGGTCTTAACGAAATCTCTACCCCTTCCATTTCTCTCTCTACAATCTCTCTCATCACCATAACGCAAAAACACGATCTCTCTTCTCTCCCTCTAACAAAGATTCAAATAGCCTCTCTTCTCTCTCTAACAAAGATTCAAATAACCAAAACATTCAGATGAGAACCCATATCACTTCTTAAAACAATCTCTGCCTCTCTATAAGATAGAATATTATATATAACGAAAACATTCAGATAAGGACCCGTATCACTTCGTAAAAAACTCTCTCTCTCTCTATCTATATAAGATTGAAGATTATCTATCTCTATATGATAAAAGATTATATATGTCCCTGAAAAATAGTTTTTTTTTCTCCCCTTAATTTGAATCTAGTGAAACCCATGTGCGGAGTTTTTTTAAACATCAAATTACGAAAAAGAAAGATAGAGATAGAGACGAAATTCGGCTAGCCCCGTGAGAGGGAGGGGGGGGGGGGGGGGGGGCGTGGCGGCCTAGCCGCCAACCTTGTCGAGAGTAGAGAGAAAGAAGAGAGGAAAGATGGCTGGTGGCCTAGCCGCCAACCTCGTGGCGAGGGGGGCTGGCGGCCTAGCTGGTGAGACGGTGGCTCGAACCCACGGCTTAGACTTGGTCCCAGCAGTCTTTGAGAGCTCCTTTAGAGAGGATTAAGATCTTGGGGTAGAGGGTTGAGATTGGTGGTCTAGGTAGGCTACGGAGTATAGTTTGGGTATATGGGTTTAGGTGTATGGGTTTAAGTAAGCTAGGGAGTATGGTGAGGGTAATTTGGGAGTACGGTTTAGGATATAGGATTAAGGTGGACTATGGTGTATGGTTAGGATAAGTTGGAAGTATGGCCTAGGGTGTATGATTAGGATGGACTATGGTATATGATTAGGATGGGCTATGGTGTATGGTTAGTATGGTCTAGGGTATGAAATCTAAAGTATGGGATTTGTGGTCTAAGGGTATGAGCTTAAGGGGTTAAAGTATTATCTCTCCTATCTCTTGGGCTGAGTATTGAAGCACAAACACAATCTCAAAGGGAATATATTTAATAAAAAAGAGTGTTTTAAAAATCGACGATTCGATTTGGAATCGGGTGATTTGGATCAAGTATCGCTCAGTATGTTCCCGTTCTTGATCTGGTAAAAAAAAAGGGGAACCGACCATGATCTGATTGGTTTTTTTAGAAAAACGCTCGATGACATCGTAAGTCGGATTTGATGATGTCATAAATCGCTCGATGATGTCATAAGTCGAATTTGATTTGATGATGTCATGAATCGTTTTGCATGGATCATTTTGAAATTTATATAAATTCTGATGATGTCATAAGTCGGATTTGATGATGTCATGAATCGTTTGCAATACACGGCAACTTCTTAAACCTTTTTATAAATAGCGTTATCTCTCTCATATGTACAATGATGTATAAATTAAATGTTCTATAAATAAATCTCTCTCTTATAAAAAGACATCTATCAGATGAAATTATCTATAATTCTTTTTAAGATTAATTATATTCATTTATTTTTAAGATTTAATATTTTTTAAGAATAATTTTATTTATTTATTTTTTATAATATACAAACATAAAGTGCATATAATTAATATTTCATTATACAATTACAAAAATAAAATTCTATCTAATAATTTAAAAAATTAACATAATTATATGAAATTGTTGTTTATTTTTGTTAATAACTTAAATAATTATGTTAAATTTATATCAATATAATTATTTTTATATATATTAAAATTATTTTTAAATGATATGGAAGTGTTTTTTAATTTTAAATTATTTTGACGTAATATTATAATACTATATTATAATTAATAGTTATACAATTATGATAATAGTATATTATAATTAAAACAATACTATATTAATGTTAACTTAATATAAGTTCATACATGGAAAGAACATCTCAATATTCGTATATTGATAAATAAAAAAAATGAAAGTTAATAATGTAATACTCTCATTTCTTATTGGATTCCTTAAAAACAACATTTATAATGATTTTTAATAAGTTTTTTGGATTTTTTTTTTGTCGAATCCGACCAATTAGGCCGATTCCCAATCCGAACCGCCAATTCACCGATCCAAATCGGTTTTTTGGATACCCGATCTGGGGTACCGATCTATTTTTTAAACCACTAATAAAAAAAAAACCTTAAATACTCAACCTCTAGGCTTATACAATTCATAAATATGGGTGGATGCCCAAGAAACACCCTAATTGACTAAAATTACATTTATAATGAATAAAAGTTAAATCCCATTTTTGGAAAAAAAAGAGATCATTTTAGCCTTACCCAGGCATAAAAATGACAATTTTGTCCCTCAAAAAGGGGCTTTTCCATCTCCATACGGTTCGAGCCCATTTTTGGTGCTTCTCTGTAACATTTCGGACGATCTAACGTCATAGAAATGTAGATCGTCGTGAGGCGATCAATTTCATACAAAATTTGTGAATTGGGACGGAGTTTTGTCTATGGTTCCAAAATTCTGGCCAAAGCCGCAAACTTGATAGTTTTTATCTTCGATCCAGATTGTCATGGTCTTGATCTTCTTTTTATCACAACTTTGTGAACTTTTTTTTTCATATTTTATTATGCAACTTTTTTTTTTTTTTACGTAAGTGGGAACTAGATTTATTATTGAAAAATTATCAAAATTATACTTTAATTTTCTCCTAATTGAAAAAAAAAAAACCCTCAACTTTCATAAACCTCGTCCACACTATTTTCAATTTTAGTATTTGTTTGACCAAAACAACCTTTACAATAGTCGTATTACCGTAATGACTATAGCATTACAGTACTTTAAGTATCGTAATGACCAAGCTAAGCATTATGGTACTTTAAGTACTATAACGATCATGCTAAACATTAAGATACTTTAAGTATTGTAATGCTCGGATGTGGCAAATGAGGGAAAAAGAGACCCAATGAGCATTACAGTCTTTAAAGTACCATAATACTTAGCCTGATCATATCAAGTACCATAATACTTAGCCTGATCATATCAAGTACCATAATGCTTATTACGGTACTTAGGGTCGTTTGGATACCTGGAAATATATTGTCTGTGAAATATATTACTATCATAATACATTACTACATAAGACATCACATGCAAATCGATTGTTACTATTTGAGTAGTACTTAGATGCAACATGGGAAATACATTGTAGTTAGATTACACAGTTTAATATGGAATTGTCTACATAGCGCCTTAAATTTGCCTTTACATTGCTCTTACTGGACATAATGATTTAAAATAGAATTTTCTACAAAGAGACTATTTATCTTTTGTAGGCACAATCATTCTTGTCTTTTAATTTTCAAAATGGGTGGTTATACTAGTGTCATTGAAATACAAAATTTCAAAAAAAAATGACTCACCTCAAGCCATCCAATTTGACATCTAATATTTGAGAATGATTGTGACCTTCATTCACAAAAGATAAAAGATCTCTTTGCAGACATTCCTATTTAATATTGAAATGCATGTGTATAGATAGCATGACTATACCATGCTTGTCATGCCTCAAAGAATAATAACTTAATAGTGTAAATTAATATTGATCATAAATATCATTAATTTGTAGTTTAAATAGTAAGGGAAAATTTCATAGAGAACCCTAATTCTTCATATTATTTCATGGTAGACCCTCTTTCCGTTTTTCTTTCGAACGGCATAAGGAAACACTTAAAGATTTCACTGCACCCCTCATCTCTTATCTCTCTCTTTAATTGACTTTTGACCATAAAAATTAGCCCCAACAAATATTTTTATACCATTTCATTTAAAAAGTTTTTGGGTTGAAATGATATAAAAAGATTTTTTGAGGTTAATTTTTATGATCAACAATAAAAGATGAAGATAAGAGATGAGGGAGTATGGTGAAATTTTTAAGGGTTTCTTTATTACGCTTGAAAGAAAAAAGTAAAGAAGGTCTACTATAAAATAATATGAGGAATTAGGGTTCGATGAAATTTTCATAAAGAGTAATCATTATAATTTAAATAAAATATAAGTTATCACTTGGTTGTCTCGATCTAAACCCTAATCCCAAAAAAATCAATTTTTTTTTCAAAAGATTTAGTAATCATTATAATTTTTCTTGGATTGATGGGGTTCAGTCTTCATGAGGAGATGTAAGAAATCTTTTGCAATAACCCATTAATCCAAATCCCTTTTGTATTGATGAGAAAAATTTAAAACAACACGAAACATACCTAAAATTGTTTGTTAGATTACCATTACGTTGATTTCATATTTCACATATTTTGGGAAAATCTTGTGAAATTTATTTCCATTTTCTTACTACCTAAATATGGTAAATCTCATATTTCCTTGTAATAGATTTTCAAGTACCCAAACAACCCCTTAGTGTACTGTAATGCAGTAGTGTAATACGACTACCGTGAATGCTATTTTGGTTAATGCCAAAATTGGAAAAAAAAAAAAAAAGAAGTTATGAACTAGATTTATGAAAATTGAAAGGTTTTTTCTAATTAGATGAAAATTAAAATATATTTATATGATAACTTCCCTTTATTATTTTTTCCCTATGTGAGAACCAGGTCGGTACACAGTGGAGCTCCTTTTCAAAGAGGCTTACGCTACTAATTGCATCATGGTCCATTTTCATGCTACTTTTACATTGAGGTCCTATTTTTTTCTTTTTTCTATTTCGGTTCTTGTTAAAATTGCTTTTCTTGTAGATATACAAAGTTAATTTAATTTCTAGATATATCTTTTTATCAAATTATAAGAATTCTTTGAGTCATTAGTAGTTGAATATGATTAACAATTTGGTAACAACTTCTTCATCATAATTTTGATGTACTTAAGGAAATTAAAGCAGGAGTTATACTTGGATTTCAACTCCTAAAGGCCATGAGTATGAGAGTTACAAAATAAACATATTCTCTATAAAAGGAGGTTAACTCCTCAAGAGAAAATGAGAGAAAAAGATAAAGTATGATGAAAGAGATATGCAAGGTGAATGAGATTCACCAAAAGGGAACTATCAAGTTTGTA